TGCTGCCCGTTAACTTCCCACTTGAAGCGCAGCCTGTGGAGGGGTTTGGCGCGGATTGTTTGGCCGCTCTGCCTCGTGTAACCTGGTGGCACCTTGAGCCATCTTCCTGGGATGAGATGGGATTGGCAGCACGACTCTGAGGCATTTAAAAACCCCAAACAGGAGGGTGAACTGTGTAATTTATCAGTAGGTTTCTAATTGTGAACTGTAAAATAAAGAATAAAGAGAGGCACACTGTGGTTCTTTTGTTGTGTATATTGTAGTTTTTGTGTTAAAACATAACATCCTTTTTACTGTTCACAGCTAAACCTTTCTTTTGTGAAGAGTTCAAACAGAAACGTGTGGTTTTGGTTCTTCATGAGAAAAACTGTAATTGCTTTCTAGAGCAGAATAGCATCTAGTTGTCTCACGGATAACCTGTGGAGGTTGGACTCGCCTGTCCTTGTTCAAATGAAGCCGCACTCCACAGGGTTCGCTGAAATCCCCAGGTAGGCTGCTGGGCACGGCTGGGTTTGACTAAACTATGCAAGGGATGAGCTGCTCTTGCTACTCGGACTGGGATATTGAACTCTTTCAGTCTCTCGTGCTTCCCTTGAGGCAAGACAGGTTATCATTGTCGTTAACTGAAGGCATTTTTGTTCGCCAGTCCCCTTTCAGCTTGTCCAAGCACAGAGGCACATTCCTGAGCTCAGGTTTGCTGTTGTTGAAATACAAGGTTTTTGCAAATAAGTAATGAATAGCTGAATTGGCTGCCATTGCTGGATTTGAGGCGGATATTTTAGATACCTTGGAAATAGGTAGAGAGCATTTGTAGAATTAAAACCATGGGCTTTTCCTATTCTTATGCTTTTTTTTTTGTCATATGTAATATATATCATCAGTTAAGTTAACATGTTTGCTGGAGGTATACCAGTTTTATCTGGCAGATTATGTGATCTCAGGGGACTAGTCTCAGCTCTCATTTTTTTTGGCCAGGGTGGGGGGGGCGCAGAACCACGAGCACAGTTGGCTCTGGTAAGCAGCAGGAAAAATGTGATTTTACTTGAGATTTCTGAACCTACAAAAGCAATTTCATTCTATTTTTGAGGCCCGATGTAACTTGTCAATGCTTTAGACTAACAGTATAGAAAAGGACTGAAACACTTATAGTTCTCTCTGCAAAATCATTTTAAAATAATATTGTTGTCGTTTGTCCCCCATGGCCCACACAGGCGCGTTTGCCTGAGGGATAAACCCCTGGAAGCCCTAAACTTATTGCTGTGAATGACCTGGTTCCCTGTTTGCCTGCCCCTTGACTACCCATTTATGAAATTAAAAGATAGATATAAAATATCATGTAATTAGAAGAGCAGCATTTTGGTGTAAAGTTAGAGGTTTGGAGCGAGTCGGGCCCCGTGGCAGCGCCCAGGGCTTGCCCGATGCTCTCGGAGCCCTTTCTGCCCGTGTTTAGAGAAGCACATTGCAATTACTGTCCCCGGGCGGTAAATAGGCCAGGACGTCGCCCTCGGAACGTGCGCTTCCAGCCCGTTAGATGCCGTTTGGACAGCTTCCATTGTCCGTGGGGTTTTACAGCCCGCCTGAGCGCACACGGCCTTTGGGAACGGGGTCAGAGAGAAATCCCTGCTCCCTGAGGTAGCTGCAGTTCAAAAACTCTTTTTTTTTTTAATATTAAAAATACCTAGGCCGGGGCCAGGACTTTCCAAACCACCAGCGCTTTTGCTGCTGGACCTGGGTGGTGCCGGTTGTTTGGGCTGGGGTCTGTAGGCTGCAGCCCCTCGCCCCAGTCGTTGTGAGAGCCCCAATGAAGCGGTTAAAAGCTGTCTTCTGGTGAATTAAGGCCCTGTCAGCGGAGGCTGGGGGGCCGGCTCCTCCCTGGCTCGGGGCAGCACCAGCTCTGCCCTTTGCAGCCCTCGTCAAGGGGGTGACCCGGCTCGGCCCAGGGGCGCG